AGCACTCCCAAAGGTAGGGAGGCTGGGTGGAGTGAAATTTCAAAACATAAACAAATTGTGTGTGTGTCTGTTAAGGAGTTTGTATGTGTTTGTCAATGAGTGTGTGTATGTGTGTTTACACAGGAAAAAAGGTGGTTGGTGTGAGGGTTGACCACGCCCTCCTTGATTCTGCCACGGTCTCCTGCATGAGGGGAAGATGGGAGCAGGCCTGCTTAAGCAAAGGAACCTCTGGGAGTCCATGAGGGGCCTCAAGCTCCACGGCCGGGCGGACGGCTCTTATACCACCTGGCCCATTGGAAAACCTTTGGGCCGAAGACCCGTTTAATGTTGGACTGGGCTTTGTCCAGGGCGGTGAAGGTGCGCACAAAGGAACCCAGGTCCTTAACAAAGGAGTCTCCAAAGAGCATGCCCTTAGCGGCAGTTCCCGGCTCCTTGACTGCTACGTTTACCAATTTAGGCTCAATCTTGAGCAATATGGCCTTGCAGCATTCACACGACATCGCCGAATTGGCGTTGCCCAAAAGGCATATCAGCTGTTGGACCCAGCCAATAGCCTCATCAAAATTGAGGGGGGTCTCCTCTGTCTTAGCCACCTCTAGTAACTCATAGAGTTTGGCAACGGGCCCCAGGGTGTCTAATATCTTGTCTTGACAGTTATGGAGCAAAATCACTAGCCCCTTCCTGGGTTTCCAGCCCGTTTTGGTCAAGAACTGGGAAATCTGAGGGTCAACCTCTTGCGTTTTAAACACCGCATCTGGCACTGAGGGCCTTGGGCATGCAGCCCGTAACTTGCTGCCCCCCTCCTTGGACATGCGCAAGGGTGGGTCCCATTCCGCCGAGCGAGGATGGCGGAGGTCATCTGGATCAAACAGGGGGATCACGGATACCCTGCCCCTCACTCGGAGGTAACGCAAAGGCGTCAGAACCCTCCGCAGCAACGGAACCCTCCACAGCGTTGGAGTCCCCTTCCTCATAGGAGGCATAGTCAGGGACGTCTAAACCCGTCTCCCCACTCAGGTCGGGAATCCGAACCCTCATTATCATGGGCACGCGCCCTTTTCCAGGTTCTGGACGATTTTGCCCGGCCAGTGGCTCTTTTGCGTGGTAACGCGACATCTTGGACGGCCAGAGGCGCATCAGTCAGGGCAGGTGGTACCTGCGTCACTCTTGTGGGAGAGGAGTGCCTGGTCTTGGCATGAGCCTTGCAGCTTGCCTTAGTCTGCCGCACAGATGGTGGGGTCAACACAAAAGGAGGCCCCAGGGGCTGTACAATTGCCTGTTGTAGTGTATGGGACAGGGAGGAAGATACCGTCCCCATTGCCGAGGCCAGTGCCCTCTGCATGGTGGACTCTATGAGGGCTTGAAACTCTTGAGAGGGAGTCAGGTCCACCTCCCCAGCAGCAGGAGGCAACCCAGTGTCCATAGTGGGGTAAACCCTTCCCCTCTAGCATGCATATTCAGGGTGATGGAGAATCCAGGGGTGTATATACACCAATCAGAGATATGTGCCCAGGGAGCCACGTGCACAGCACAGGACACATTAAGCAGTGGAGTCCCAAATAAACATTAAACTAAAGGGAATACTAAATGAAGGGTTGATTAACCCATAGACAATACCTGAGGGGAAAACCGAAAACAGAGTGAGAGGTATAGGGAGCCGTGCCGACAAGAGCCTCCAGCCACGTGTGTTCACAAGCAGGGACGAATGCCGGCTCGTGTCCACAGGGCGCATCGCGGCAAACAGAGCCCCTCCACCACCAATGGCTGGGGAGTGCGTGTAGTACACATGGTCACAGAACTCCCTCGCACCACCGGTGCGAGAAGAGGGATGGCTGTTGGTACGAAAACACGTGTGTGCGGCCGCGGGGGAAACAAAGTCTCACTCCCGGTAGCTGCGGGACCCGGTCCGTGCGCGCCAAAGCGCTCGGCACAGGCAGAGATTGCAGCTACAAGCAAGTGGGGAAGAGCAGAGCTCAAAGCCCCACAGCCAGAAAATAAATAAATACAAATCAGATGAATAGACAATAATGAAATAAAACAACAGTAATCACAAAATAAATATAAATCAATCAACCAAAAACATCAATAGACATAACAAATCAATCCAAATACAAGGAGAGAAAAAATACTTAGCTGGTCTGAGGAAGCAGCAAAGAAAGAGGAAATGGAAGGATACAGTGAGGCATTTTATGGACTGTTCCTATAAGCTGATTGGCTGCCCTGTTACTAGGCAGAGTTGGTGTATCTGTTATATATTATTCATATTGTTCATATTTTCTCTTTCAGTTATTTTTTCTCTTAGCTGCTGAGGAATAAAGTAAGAAAGAGATAGCAGCATAATAGGAGCATCCGTGTCATTAATAAAATTCTATTTGAGCCCAGAATGGCAGTAAGATTTATTATTGGATCAAAAAGCTATTAACCTACAGTTGAAAAAATTATATCGTTGAATATCATGTTTTTGCAAGTATGCATCCAGTTGCTGTTTAAACATCTACAGTGCATTTCAAAAGTATTCACCCCCCATGGCATTTTTCACGTTTTGTTGCCTCACAACCTGGCATTAACATGGATTGTTTGAGGATTTGCATCATTAAATTTACAGAACATGCCCACAACTTTGAAGATTTTTTAATTTATTTTTTATTGTGAAGCAAACAACAAATAGGACAAAATAACAGAAAAAGTCAATGTGCATAACTATTCACCCCCCAAGTCAATACTTTGTAGAGCCACCTTTTGCGGCAATCACAGCTCGCTTTGGATAAGTCTCTATGAGCTTGCCACATCTTACCACTGGGAGTGTTGCCCATTCCTCCTTGCAAAACTGCTCCAGCTCCTTCAAGTTGGATGGTTTGCGCTTGTGAACAGCAATCGTTAAGTCTGACCACAGATTTTCTATTGGATTGAGGTGTGGGTTTTGACTAGGCCATTCCAACACATTTACATATTTCCCCTTAAACCACTCAAGTGTTGCTTTAGCAGTGTTTTTGGGGTCATTGTCCTGCTGGAAGGCGAACCTCCGTCTAGCCTCAAATAACAGTGGTACAGGTTTTGCTCAAGAATATCCCTGTATTTAGCACCATCCATCTTTCCCTCAACTCTGACCAGTTTCCCAGTCCCGGCTGCTGAAAAACATCCCCACAGCATGATGCTGCCACCACAATGTTTCACTATGGGGATGGTGATCTTTGGGTGATGTGATGTGTTGGGTTTGCACCAGACATAGTGTTTTCTTTGATGGCGAATAGTTAAATTTCAGTCTCATCAGACCAGAGCACCTTCCTCCATACATTTTGGGAGTCTCCCACATGCCTTTTCGCAAACTCAAAACGTGCCATTTTGTTTTTTACCGTAAGTAATGGCTTTCTTCTGGCCACTCTGCCATAAAGCCCAACTCTATGGAGCGTACGGCTTATTGTCGTTCTATGTACAGATACTCCAGTCTGCAGGTCCTCTAGGGTTAACTTAGGTCTCTGTGCTGCCTCTCTAATTAATGCCCTCCTTGCCCGGTCCGTGAGTTTTGGTGGGTGGCCATCTCTTGGCAGGTTTGCTGTTGTGCCATGTTCTTTCCATTTGGTTATGATAGATTTGATGGTGCTTCTGGGGATCATCAAAGATTTGGATATTTTTTATAACCTATCCCTGACTTGTACTTCTCAACAACATTGTCTCTTACTCGTTTGGATTGTTACTTGGTCTTCATGACAGTGTTTGGTTAGTGGTGCCTCTTGCTTAGGTGTTGCAGCCTCTGGGGCCTTTCAAAAAAGGTGTGTGTATATGTAATAACAGAGAATGTGACACTTAGATTGCACACAGGTGGACATCATTTCACTAATTATGTGGCTTCTGAAGGTAATTGGTTGCACCAGAGCTTTTTATGGGCTTCATAACAAAGGGGTGAATACATATGTACATGCCAATTTTCTGTTTTCTATTTCTAAAAAAGTTTTATGTATATATTTTTCTCATTTCACTTCACCAACTTAGACTTTTGTGTTCTGATCCATCACATAAAATACAGATTAATAAAACATTGAACTTAAGGCTGTAATGTAACAAAATAGGTAAAAAGTCAAGGGGGTGAATATTTTTGCAAGTCACTGTATACAGACTCTGATAAAACCACTTCTTCAGTGTGAATAGAGTAAGGAGCACAACCATAAATCTTTATATATATGAAAAAAAATCTTTATTAAATGGGTATATACTATAGGACTGTCTCTTTAAATATTATCCACAGAGGTACAAAGTCATGCTATTCAAAAGCATTTACCAGAAAAGCAATGATATAGGCAAATATAAACGCTCAATGCGTAATAAATGAATGAAAGAAATATCATGCAAACAGTCCACTATAATACTAGTATAATGAAAACCCAGACATATAAAAAAAATGCAGCAAACCATACCAAATTCAGTGAGAAGTAGGGACAGAGTCAATCAAAAAAAAAACCAACGTTTCAGCTGAAAAGCCTTTGTCAAGGGAGCATGTTGAGAAACTAAGTTCTCCCCTTATATACCCACAAGAAACACCAAAATTAAAAACACCTGAAAGTAATGGGTGGCCACCCATAGTGATTGAGATCCTCCCAACCATCAAACACCTGTTTATGGTTACCAAGGAAACCAAGTATATACACACCTATCATACATATATAACATCAAAAAGAGTTGCAAATAAATATAATAGTACAAATCAAATTAAAGACATCCATATATGCATGCATTAAAGACAGTAACAGATCATCAGTGCCATGATAAGTAATACTGTAAAAAATAAATCCTATTACAAATAACAGCATATTCAATTGAACAGACCAAAGGTCTTCACATAAACAAAAAGGAAAACATATATTACATACACATAAAATAAATCAACACACCCAGAACAGAGATCAGCCGATCAGGCTACTGGAAAACATAAAATTCAATCCGTCTTGAGTGAAAGCGAGGTGCGAGCAGCAGCTTGCGTTTCAAGTTGCCGAACCCGGGAATCGGCTGAATGAAATGGAAGTTCCTAGTTGGTCTCTCATACAAGTACTAACCAGGCCTAAGTCTGGATAGCTTCTGAGATCAGGCATTTTCAGACTAGTATGGCCATAGATATGCGTTCCAAAATATCCGGCAAGCAAAGTTCTTCAATTGTCAAACTGACCGTGTAGTTTACTACATTAAATGTCCTTGTGGTCTGGGCTATGTGGGTCAAACCTCAAGAGCCTTGACTGTGCAGATTGGTGAGCACAAAAGCACCATCTGTACTAAGAAACGGCATATATAACTTGCTAAACATTTTATTGACTTGGGCCACTCTGTAGCGCAATTACGTTTCCAAGCTATTGAACGTATCAAGACACCCTTGCCTGGCTATTCCCTTGCAGACTCACTTAAACGTGCGGAATTACGTTGGATTTATCGCTTGAACACACTATTCCCCTATGGGTTAAATGAAAATTGTTATTTCAATCCTTTTAGGTAAAATCATCAAATGTTACTTGGTCATTGGTTATGAAAGTTTGATTACACTTGTTGGGATATTCCTTCTGGGATTGCATTGTGATTATTATTACTTTTTCAGTTTACTACCTCTGCCTGTGATTTGCCAGATTCTGGATGTATTACTAATGATTTTATTATGTTTATTTCTTTCTCCAGTTCTATTTTTTGCTGGGTTTGTCATGTCTGGGTGGCCCTCATCGATTGAATACCTTTTATGAAGATCTACGGACTTTTGACTTCTTTGGTCTACTTCTCGTGTGGAAAAACTCTATCGACACAATTATTATACATATGTTATATTGTGCCTGTCCTTAGGACTTGTATGTGAATTGATTTTTGCCTTTACATACATGTGTATGAAGATGTAAATATCTAATATTCATTGCTTTTTATTCAATGTGATTATATAGTCGGGATCCCTTTATATGTTTTGAGATGCATTGACTAGCTATGCATGCATCCTTGTCCCTTTAATGATTTTGGTCGTCTATTATTATTTGGATGTTGGTACTAATTATGTTTACTCTTGATCAATGGATATATTATTGTACGTCTTTATCATCAGGATGACATTCATATTGGTATTACATCTGTTGTCGGCTATCAGTTGTCTTTAATACTGAGTTCCAGTATTCTTTCATATATTTTGTTATTGGTTCTTTATTTTCTATCTATTAGTTTTTTTTCATATTTCTTCTTATTATCCATTTGCCTTATATAGGAGTTTTATTTGGCTCCTTGGGTATTTCTAGCTGTTCATAATTATTTTTGCTCTCTTTTCCTACACATACACGTTATAGCCACTTCGGGGCTTTAATTATGTCGCTTGAACGCATGCGCAGGACGCAGACCGGCTTTGCTTGCCGGATATTTTGGAACGCATATCTATGGCCATACTAGTCTGAAAATGCCTGATCTCGTTAGATCTCAAATGGTGGTTTTTTTTTTTATTGACTCTGTCCCTACTTCTCACTGAATTTGGTATGGTTTGCTGCATTTTTTTTATATGTCTGGGTTTTCATTATACTAGTATTATAGTGGACTGTTTGCATGATATTTCTTTCATTCATTTATTACGCATTGAGCGTTTATATTTGCCTATATCATTGCTTTTCTGGTAAATGCTTTTGAATAGCATGACTTTGTACCTCTGTGGATAATATTTAAAGAGACAGTCCTATAGTGTATATACCCATTTAATAAAGATTTTTTTCATATATATAAAGATTTATGGTTGTGCTCCTTACTCTATTCACACTGTTATGTATTTTGGGTTCTTTGGGGGATAGAGCCTTATGTGGGTGAGCACCCAGTATTTATTATATTAGCCTTTTCCTGGGGCTAATTTGTTGTTTAGTCGAGTGTGCCCGCCTTGTTTCATTTGTAAAACCACTTCTTCAGCCAGAAAATCCCACATCCTTATTGTTCTTACAGTAAAAAAAATCCTTTTCTTTGCCTTAGATTAAATATTTCATTTAGTCTACATGGACACATGTCTCCTTTCAGCCTCTGTAACTATATAACCCCTCTGAGGTGCTGTTTTTCTAAACTAAAGAGGTTTCAATTTGTTAAAGGACCACTGTAATCTGTAAGGGTTAATCCAGCCTCTAGTGGCTGTCTTCCTGACAGACGCTAGAGGCGCTTCTGCAACGCTCAATGCGAAAATCGCATTGAGCACGCAGAACGTCCATAGGAAAGCATTGAGAAATGCTTCCTATGGGCGTTTTTAATGCGTCGGCATACATAGCTGAAAAGAGACTTGCGTCCAAGTTCAGCCTTCCTCACATTTGTTTTTTGCTGTTGATCCAAAAGAAGGCAAAAAAAACAAAAACAGTTTGAAGCACTTCCAATTTTGCAACAAGCTAGGAAGAAAAATCCTTCTTGACCCTAGAATGGCAGTCAGATTTATCCTTAGATCAAGCAGTTATTACCCTACATTGAAAGATTATATCCTTGAATATCCTGTTTTTGCAAGTATTCATCTAGTAGCTGTTTGAACATCTGTATGGACTCTGATAAAACCACTTCTTCAGGCAGAGAATTCCACATCCTTATTGTTCTTACAGTAAAAAAAACCTTTCCTTTACCTTAGACGAAATCTTCTTTGTTCCAGTCTAAACACGTGACCTTGTGTCCTATGTAAAGTCCGATTTGTGAATAGATTTCCACACAGGGGTTTGTATTGGCCTGGAATATATTTGTATAATGTTATCATATCCCCTCTCAGGCGACGTTTTGTTAACCTTTCTTCATAGCCGATATGTTCCATTCCTTTTATTAATTTTGTAGCTCGCCTCTGCACTTTTTCTAGTGCCATAATATCCTTCTTTAGAATAGGTGCCCAAAATTGCACAGCATATTCAATATGTGGTCTTACCAGTGATTCATAAAGAGGCACAATTATATTCTTGTCTCTAGAGTGAATGCCCTTTTTCATGCATGACAATACCTTACTGACCTTGGCCACTGCTGATTGACATTGCACATTGTTGCATAGTTTGTTGTCTATAACAATTCCCAAGTCCTTTTCATGTGTTGTTATCCTTAATTCGCTTCCATTAAGGGTATACGTTGCTTGTGTATTCTTTATGCCAAAGTGCATAACTTTGCATTTTTTAACATAAAATTTAATCTGCCATTTGAGTGCTCAGTCCCCCAGTCTATCTAAATCCCTCTGCAGCAAAATAATATCTTACATTGTATTATTTTACAGAGTTTTGTGTCAAACTTTTTTGAGTTTTGGTAAACTCATTAGCTCCTTTGGCTTCCAATATCATTTCTATGCAGATGACACTCAAATCTACCAGTCCTCTCCTGATCTCTCCCCGTCCCTCTTGACTAGAGTCTCTGACTGCCTCTCTGCTGTTTCTAACTGGATGGCTGCCCACTTCTTTAAACTAAACTTGACAAAAACTGAAATTCTGGTCTTTCCTCCCTCAAGTGTTGTTACTCCTGTGTCTCTCTCCCTCCAAGTCAACGGTGCTACCATCAGCTCCACCACGCAGGCTCGCTGCCTAGGTGTTCTCTTTGACTCCGACCTCTCCTTCAAGCCTCATGTTCAATCTATCGCCAAATCCTGTCATTTCCATCTCAAAAACATTGCGCGCATCCGCCCCTACTTAACGCCAGATGCGACTAAGGTGTTGGTCCATTCCACTGTCCTTTCTCACCTTGACTACTGTAATCCGCTTCTCAGTGGTCTTACATGCTCCCAACTAACGCCGTTACAGTCCATAGTGAATGCGGCGGCGAGGCTCATCTTCCTGTCTGCCCGCACCTCCCATGCCTCACCCTTCTGTCAGTCCCTACATTGGCTTCCTATAAAATATAGAATTTAAAATTCTGGTTTTTGCTTTCAAATCTCTACATAATGCTGCTCCCACCTATCTATCCTCCCTTATACACAAGTATGTCCCGTCTAGTCCCTTACGATCTGCTGAAGACTTACGTCTATCTTCTGTCTGTACTCCCACCTCTGATGCTCGCCTTCAAGATTTCTCGAGGGCTGCACTGTTCCTGTGGAACTCGCTTCCCTCCTCCGTTAGATTCTCACCCAGTCTACACTCCTTCAAAAAATCGTTAAAAACCCACTTCTTCATAAAATCGTATCAATTAAACTGTTAATAGTTCCTGACTGATTCATCTTCTGCAACTGTCACTAATCTAATACTATCCTTACCTTTTTGTGTCATTTTACCCCACTCCCTCTAGCATGTAAGCTCATTGAGCAGGGCCCTCAACCCCTCTGTTCATGTGTGTCCAACTTGTCTGGTTACAACTAGATGTCTGTTCGGAATTTGACCGCGCTCTATAAATATCATAATAATATATAATAATAATAATAATAATAATAATAATCTGCAACCACATGACTTTCTATGCTTTCTTCAAGGTCATTTATAAAAATGTTAAATAGAAGGGGTCCCAGAAAAGACCCCTGAGGGACACCACTTGCCACCTCTGTCCAGCTTGAAAATTTACCATTAACGACAACTCTTTGTACTCTGTTTTTAAGCCAATGTTCTACCCAAGAACAAGCATTTTCATGTAGACCGATTTCCTTGAGTTTGAACACTAGTCTATTGTGTGGAACTGTATCAAATGCCTTGGCAAAATCCAAATAGATCACATCCACTGCAGCACCCTGGTCTATACTTCTACTTACTTCTTCATAGAACGCAATCAAGTTAGTTTGACATGACCTGTGCTTCATAAAACCATGCTGATTCTTGCTGATAACCAATGTTCTTCTCAAGGAACTCTTGAATATTATTCCTTAATAACCTTTCAAATATTTTCCCAGCCACAGAAGTTAAGCTCTCAGGTCTATAATTTTCAGGCAAGGATTTTGAACCCTTTTTGAATATAGGAAGTACATCTGCCTTCCTCCAATCCTCCAGGACACTTCCTGAAAGAAAATAATCTTGAAATATTAAAAACAGAGGTTCACCTATTTCTACATTTAGTTCATTAAGTACTTGTGGATGGATACCGTCAGGCCCTGGAGCTTTGTTTATATTAACTTTCTTTAGTTGCTGAAGCACCTTGTATTGAGTTAACCAATTACAATTATTCTGCAAGTTTTTAGTAGCAATCATTTGCACATCTA